AACACACAGTGCCTGTAGTAGCTGTAGCAACAAATCCAGCAGTCCTCCTGGCAGAGCACACAGCAAATGTGGGTGCTAGAGGTTGTTGGACTACAGCTTCCATAATCCCTCATGATTGGCTACGCTAGCTAGGGTTGATGTGAATTGCAATTCTTGGATTAGTCCTGCTGAGGCCAAACCACTTGAAACTTTACAAACCAATGAAATGCCTCATATATTGTGAGAGGTGGAAACCACATTTCATCCCCTGAACACTTGTATTGGCTACAAATTGAAGCTGTCATATGACTTGGCCCTATTGTGCATTTCTGTGGTGCAGCTTAGCAGCAAGCAAGGCACAGCAGAACGAAGCTGCTACTATCCTCTTAGTGCAACCACCAATATTCCTTGGGAAGGATGCAAGGTAAAATTTCATTTTTGTTATTTATAAGCATCTCATATACTTATTTATGTTTGCTGAAGAAAGCAGCCAAATACAACACATACATTGGTTTCAGTCAGAGATTAATGGAGTCCAAGGAATTACAACAGGTCTCTTAAAAATCTGCAGAGTGATAACAATGCTTTGTGGAGAAATAACAATAAATATGAAATGGTGAGCATGTTCTAGGAAATCTTACACAGTGCCCACTTTGCATAATCAAGTATCTTTAAATTGCATGTGAATAACTTCTATTATTTTTTTCAGACAGCAGACTTGAAATATTGTAAAGGAAAACTATGCGGAACATTTATGCGAACGCACGTAGGCAGGGCAGTTTCAGTAATACTTTGCTCTCATTAAATGTCTTTGATCTTATGATCTCATGCTCTTTATAAGGTGAGGAGCTGTCTATATCCCCATTTTACAGGGCAGCATATTGTGGATGTAAGCACGTCGCCTATGGCCACACACAGTCCGAACTGGCAACTGTGTAGAACTAAGAGTTTTGAAGTCTCTAATTATTCCCATTAGACAACACTTGTTTTCATAATAATGAAAGTCATAGCTTGACTATTGGAGTATACTGAGACACAGTTCTTAGACATGAACAGTGTTGCAGTGTGGGTTCTCATCAAACAGTCTCCATCCAGCTTTACACGTGAACTTCCAATTTGCTACACTTGCATTAAATACTCTCTAGGAGTTTCATGTCAGTGTTTACATGTCCACACTAGAGATGGGGGGTATTCGTATTCATATACAAATATCCCCCCACAGGTGGAAATAATGAGGGTCCAGCCCCATGGGGCCAGACTGTCCACTCATGATTTTGCCGCTGCCGCCGGCTCCGCGGTGGTTTCCTATTGCGCTGTTCTCTGCAATGGATTAGCCACTCTCCAATCTAGCAGAGCGGCTTGTCATCCCACCTCTTGACAGGACTGGGTAATTGTGAGGGTTCGGTGTTGGGGGGGTGTCAGTCACTCCTAATAAAGTGCAAGACGGTTTTAACGTTTCAATCTTGTCTGTATTTATTAACACTTCAACATTAACTGGAACTTCTTTAGGAACGGGTTCTAAAGTCTCTTGCGGTCTAAACCCTGACTGTAAGGGTGTCCAAACGTTGCCAACGAAAGGGTTACTGTCCTCAAAAGTCCACGGTCCTGGCATAACCTTCTCTAGGACCGGCTCCTCACCACCTTCCTCCTCTGGTTCGATTAGGGGAAGGGTCTCCTCATCCCCGCTCCAGCCCCAGAATGGGGATCCCTCCCCTGGACTGACCAACCACGGTCCGGGTAGTCTCAGCTCTGACTGCTCTGCATTTGGTGACCCTGCTAGAAGTATAGAAATGTAATGGAGTTTAGCCTCCTGGCAGCATTGTTGTATACTTAGGAGCGCGCACAAGCAAGCGAGAGAGTGAGCGTGGATGTTTTGGGCAGGTGGTCAACCTGCTTCCTTATTGGCTTTTCAAAGGAGCTAATGAACACAACATGGATTCATGTATAAGGCTCAGGTTTGGGGGGAAAGGGCTTTCAGAGAAGTGTTTAAATGAAGGGCTAGAGACTTCAGCAAGAGTTTATTGGAGCATGAAGTAGAACTCTGGTCCAGAATGGTTTTATGTAAAATATGAAAATAAGTCCTGGTTTTATATAACATATGAAAATAAAGTAATCACAACCACTTGGTCAAGTAAACAAAAACAAAAGAACTTGCGCAGGATAGAAACCTAGTTTAGCAGGGTAGCAACAGGAAGAACAAGAAACTTTGAAATTGCAAAAAATGAGGGGGTGGGGCTTGCTGTCCATGGGTTGTATTTTACCCGTGCAACTCCGATAGAGCACTACATTTCAGATAAATTATTGTGCAGCAGAGCAAATCAACATTTTACAAGGCGATTGTGAAAATGGAGGCAGCCCAAACAAAACATTTTAACTTTGAAACTGGAATTCAGACCAGCATCAAATCTGGCACACATGTAGCAAACCGTCTGCTCTTGTTCTGAGCCAATTTTGGAGAAATTTGGGCAAAGGGTTTTTTAATTACATTTAAAAAGTAAAACTGCCCCCCTATTCAGAAAGAGGTGATGCTAAATATCCCTAGATTTAAAATTGCTCATATAATTAGAAAATACTAGTATTGATTATCTTGAAAAAGAATGTTTGGCCCCACTCACTTTTCCGTTTCAAAAGAATCCAGGTTGCAGGGGCTGAAATAGCGAACCTCAAAAGAAGCCTTACAAAACTGTGACTTTGTTATAAACTGACCATGCATAGTACAGGCTTGCCAGGCAGGTGATTATACTGTATTGTGTGGCCAAGGGAGAATTACAGATCAACAAATGTTCACAACTTTTATGGGAAAAGTAAAAAAATGAATTTGCTTTAAAAAGTGTAATGAAGCGACAGTTCTCCAGAAAGGGTATCTCCAGGGAGTTAGTATACAATTTTGTAAGAAATATTCAAAGTATTTCTGCTTTACAAAATCACAGAGTAGTTCCGTTTGTCGCAGCCCTGAGTGCTTCAGTAAACATTCTCTCCTTTTATTTATTTTTAAAACTAAATTTCATTGCATCAATGTTTCAGCAACATTTCCTCGATGGATACAAGTTTCTATGCTGCATTTGTGTTCTGCTTTACAAAATCACAGAGTAGTTCCGTTTGTCGCAGCCCTGAGTGCTTCAGTAAACATTCTCTCCTTTTATTTATTTTTAAAACTAAATTTCATTGCATCAATGTTTCAGCAACATTTCC